GGAATCCTAATTCTAGACTAATGGTGAGTTGAAGTAAATATAATCCATTGCAGGGCTAAATTGCTAAATGTCATGACAATCATTTTGTGAAAAACATTATAATTCGTTGAAATGACAACTTTGTATGATAAATAATATTTTACTTTTGGATGAAATGAACTGAAACGAAATACAGTGAGTATAGCTCTTTAAGAGCTCAGAGCAGTATTTACCATGTAGCAAGACCTATAAACATATTTGATTAGTAAATAAGTACATAAACAAAGAAAAAATCCTTTAAGATGATGCTCCTGCTGAGTACTTTAGAGAGGATTGGTATGCTAAGGGCTGTAAAATGAAAACAAACAAACAAACAAACAAAAATTTTTGTGGAGAGAAAAAATATCTTCAGGAAGGTTTTAATTTAGAAAAGACAGCTGAGCAAAGGCAAAGTAATGTGGCAATAAAGTATTAGCGTAGGGCACCTTCTGTATTCTCATAAGATAGTGGTAATTGATATTATAATAAATCTAAGTTTCTAAGGGCAAATAGCTTTTTAGTAATAGGATATTATAAATTTTGTAAAAATTTTCCACTCAGACATATCTTACTCATTTAATCATATATTTATCAATTTTTGTTATGGTATGTCTTATTTTTATAAACTAGTATCCAGAAACCTGGTTTAAGTTATTTCTGAGTTGTCTAGACCCATCTATGGTGTTAGTCTTCATACAGAATTCATGGCATATATTTACTCCTGATGCCATTAAGACATGAAGACGAGTGAAATGATTTGGTAACTCCTGAGAAAGAGCATGCCATTTGATTAATTACACAGGAAAAGGTAGGATCAGGCCTACTTTTTAATTTTTAGAACTCATATTCTCCTTGGTTCCAAAAATGAATTGCACTGACAATGCACAATCAAGAATATGGCAAACTTTCAAAATAGTAACAGCTAAAATGTCACCTTGAAATAGTAAATCTTTCATAGTAGCAAAACAACATTAAATTCATACAAGAAAAGAATAGTTTCCTTCAGTGAAACTTCTGATAAATGATGATATTTCAAGAAGAAATTTCTAGTCAAACCAGCATCAGAATGGCAAGAAAGTAGAAACTGTAAATCAACCATAGTCTTATCAGATAACTATGTATTTGTGGGAGCCCACCAACTGCCAGGCACTGTGGAAGGAGATGAGGATTTGATGATGGGCAGACAGACACAGCTCTTGTGCTTGTGTTAGTTAGAATTGCTGGGAGACAATTAAGCAATGACAACATACACACACCCCTGTGTGTATGCACACACAAACATATACATATGTGCATATATAATTATAAACTTTGAAAATATATGGAGTAAAAGTGAAGAGTGCTATAGGACAAATAACAAGGAGATGTAATTTAGACTGAAGGGAAAAGGAAAGTTTTTGTGTGGAGTCCCACATAACTAAGACGAACTATGAGAAAGAAATAATCAGATGAAAAGGAAAGAGGTATTTCAAGGGAGAGGAATGCATGAGTGAAGGACTGAATTAGAAAGGCACTTAGTTTTTTTCCAGAACTGAAAAGATAGCACTGCTACGGGATCATGGTGAGGAAGAATGGCCAGCAACAGAGCCCAAGAGGTAGGCAGGGCCCTGACTGTGCAGCATTTTATGGGTCACGATGGGCAAATGGCTCATGCAAACCGCAACGGTATGTCAGTAATTGCTTTAATAGTGAATGTAAACTTAGGCATAATGATGCCCTCAGCAGTACAAACAACTTCCTTCGATTCAAAGAGTCTTAAATAGTTTTTACTGTTGAGAATCACAGTTTGAAAACAGGATTGATTGTAAGTTATATGAAGATACAGTCTTCTAAATGGGTATGCTCTGGGTCCTCTTTCAGCCATCAGTGTATTTGCGGAGCTGAGCCTAGATAAGGCAACAACTCACATGTATTGAGCACATACAATATCAGGCCTATAACACACAGTGTCTCAACCTTCACAACCACCCCATGAGGTGGATATTATACGAGACCTTTTGAAATGAGAATAAAAGGTCCTTGTAGATACCAGTAGCCTCCATTCACTTCATTTGCTCAGTTTTTCCTTTGTTCATAAATTCAGGCATTCGAGCATTTAAGCATTTGCTTAATAAGCATTAAATAAAGACTTACTAAGACACCTGATACCACTGAGGAGCGGAAAAGATGAAGGAAAGGAAAGCGGGAAGGGACATAAAGACATATAAAGCTCAAGATCTGCCTGCAAGGAACTCATATTGTTAGGAAAGCTAAGTCTCATATTCACATAACTACAGAGCAGTGGAGAAATGTGTTGGGCCACAAGAGAAATACAAGTTAAAATTAATTCCTGGTATGCCTTTGAAATACAGGTATGCTATTGATGGGTCAGAGGAGGGCATTCCAAAACAGGCAATTATAATGTGGAGGGATATTTTCTCTAAAGTCTTTTCAGAACCTCTCTTCTCAGATTAACCAACTTGAAGGAGCATAGAGCACTTCGTTCTTATCAGGAATCCATGGCCAAACAAACATAGATGGCTGAAATTTATTTTTCATAGCCCAAATAAAACATTTTTAGTACTTTTCTAGAAAATAGAGACTTTTATTTTCTCCATAAGTTGTTTTTGTTTGTTTGTTTGTTTGTTTAATTTCAGTTGTGCAATTGCCGAAGCCCGCTACTGGGGACTTAGAGAGGAAGGAGTGAAGGAAGCTCTTGATTCTGATATGCTATTGATCACTATGTGGTATTGTGTGTTTCATTGGTAACTACCTGGAAGGCTTTTTGAAATTCCAGCAAATCTTCTAAGGTGTAGGGTTAAGAGGGTGGGAGATATGGTGAGAAAGGCTATAGACAGACTCTCTTGGGCCCTCAGTGTGATCCTTTTTCTACCCGCTTTTCACTTATGTCAAGTAAGTCTAATGAAGAAGCACTGAAGGGAGGGGAACTTTCCAAAACATTTTGTTTTGTTTTCTTTTAAATACACAGCAAGTTGGAAGTACACAGCAGGTTTTAAGTAGCTCAGCTTGATAGGATGTGGTAAGGGAAGAGGAAGTGGAAGTGAAGAAAAGACTAGATAATGGAGGCTTAGAATATCAGATTATAGAATTTAGATTTTCTGTAGTAGGCAAAACAGAAAACCTTGGACCTAGAATTTTGTTTGTTTGTTTTTGTTTTTGTTTTGTTTGTTTTTTTGACATAATTAGATTACTAGTTAGAGGAAATAAGTTGAAACAGGACAGTATTTTCTTTCCAATTATAAAAATAAATCTTATGAATAGAAGATGTTACAGGTTATTGTTTGTTTTATTTTTATCCTCTTTCAAGAGCTATTATATATTCAGTCATGGTTTCCCTAGATTATTGTTGTAACAATATTGTTAGGGGAGTTAAACCCAAAATTAATCTTAAGAGAGTCAACAGAATTGCAGTCCAGCCAATATTTGACATACCCAAACAAACATTTACATATTCCAACTGTCCCTCCAACTAGAATTCATTTCCTTTCCCAATCTTACAAAGGAAATATTCTCTCCTGATGTTTCCCTTGATATGTAAAGTCAAAAAATTAATTGTTTCTTTTCTTTTTAAGAGCATGTTTAACATGGGGACTTTTGATATCTCTCTGCAGGCTAGCCATCTTCCTAGTTAGATTTTAATAATACTATGACCTATAAACTTTTATTTCAAAATTGGTTTTTGCAAGAAATTAAAGGTGGGGGGGGTATCTATATTAAATATTGATTTTTTAAAAAATCTCTTTTTCTCTTGCCCTTTCTCTCCTCTTCTCCCCAGAAGTTGAAAGGAGATGTTAGTGAAAAGGTTGAAACCCTTTAAAAAGTCCATTCTAACCATTCTCTTCTATTTAAATTTGCTCAGTTTTCTCTCTTGGATTATAATGTTAAGGTTTTAGTAGCATTTAATCTCAAATAATTATATTTGTTGAACAGTTAACATTTCTATTTTTTCAGATCATTTTAAGCCATCACCTGTCTGTACTAAAAGCCTTTTAATAAAATTGTATTTACTCACAATTTTGACTTTGAGATGGTCTATAAAGTGAGTCCAATCTAAAATAAAATGCAGTTTGGTGGCTATCTACAAGTAGGAAGAGAGTCCTCACAAAATTCAATCTTACTGGAACTCTGATCTTGAACTTCCAACCTCAAAAACTGTGAGAAAATAAATTTCTGTTGTTCAAGCCACCCAGTCTATGGTACTGTGTTATGTCAGCTTGAGCCAACTAATACAGTGACTGTCCCCATATTTGCATTAGGATGCACAGTGAGAGGTCAGTGGCAAACACTAGCTTTTGGACCTGAGTGTGCCTAACTACAAAGCCCACTCTTTGGATTACCCTCTGAATTTTAGCCAGAAAATAATAAATAAAAAATAATAAAAATAATAAGTTTAGCCAGAAAATAATAAAAGTAATATGTTAAAAATTCCCAACCCTTCTTCTGTTGTTGTTTATATTTTTATTTTTAGTGGGTTTAGCAGATATAGACAAAGCTAGTTGATTGCTCATTCTTATTCATTATCATTTGATTTTTGTGTTTTAACAGGATGTTACTTGAGCTCTCAGAATCCCAGGTTAATGTTGAAAATGTGGCCAATCTTCCTGAAATTGCAATGTTGAAAAATCTAAGATTTACTATTACTCTGTTTGCTTTTTCGTAAAACATATTAAATATAAAATATCCAGTTTTGTGCCTGAAACTAATTGGCAGTGTCCCATTAAACCATATTAAAATTACATCTATTAATTGGATTAGAAATTCAGTGCGAATGACAGCTGCTGGTGCCTTTTACAGTTACTTTGTTTCTGTATAATCCATATGGCAGAAATCACATCGTGCTTTTTTCCCCATTTAAATAAACACTTGAGATAAAAAAGGTTTGACTCACTGTGGTCGGGGTATGTGCATTCATTTTTCCTTCTTTCTTTCAAAAAAATGGTTTTGTAAAAGCTTAACTATCTTTTCACCCGCTTCTTTCACAGGTTTTCGCCAGCCATATTTTTGTATCTGATTAGCATCGTTCCATCATTATGGCTTCTTGAGGTGCACCATGGGACCCAGGTACATCCTTTTGGAAAGCAGGAAAGTGAAAAATTCAGCAATAAACTACTTTCATATTATAATTCAATTTTTGCCAGAAATGTACTTTTCTAAGGCACCAGAGTTATCAAGAACTGAATAAAGAGTTCATCAACAAAAGATTCATGATCTGTCAAAACCAATAAAAATATTACATTCATTTAAGACTTAAAAGAGTATATGAACAATTTGTGTTAGAGATCTTATTCTTAAGACTCTCCTCCACAAGCTAGAGTTTACATAGAGGTGTACATATATATATATATTTTTTTTACACTTAAAGCTTCAGTGAGTTTCTATATTGCTAAGAATGGTCAGGGCTCGATAATCTAACACCCTATAAAATGACATTTTTAGAATCGACAAAAACAAAAACAAATCCCATCATCTGCATCTATACTCTGCTATATAAATACAGTCAAACATAGGGGCACTATTTGAAGTAGTCTCTTTTAATATACAGGCTTTGCAGATAACAGGAGATTCACTTTTTAGGGTCCCATGAGCTAGTGGTTCTAGTGAATAGAAATTCTACTCTAGAGCCCCAAAATAAGGGTGAAGGAGAGAAGTCAGGGACCCTTCATTGGGAAAGGTGAGTTATACATATTAGAACCATATTGACAATGAACAATGACTTCCAATAAGAAACCCTAATCTATATAAAGGCACTAAATTTTAAGTGAGCTGCTTTACTTGGGCAACCCTGGGTAGCAGACTCTAGGCTGGATTCAGCCGTTTCTTGTTATTAATGCTCCTATATGACAGCGGGGAGGCCGTTTGTAAAGTCCATCAGACTCCAGCCTGGGCTTCTCATCTTCAAGGTTTAGTTTACAGGACTAAGTTTTACAGATGAGCCACAATTACAATATAATATTTTATTACTTTCACTGATAAAGTGCTTTAGGTAAGATATGTGAAAATTTGCCCCTATACAGATTTATTTGCTACAGCTGGTCATTTTATAGAAAAGTTAAGCCTTATCTATGTGTTTCAGATATTCAAACCTTATCTAGAAAATGCTTGCTCCAAATTTCAGGCACACAGAGGACAATTTAGCTCTGCAGTCTATTTTTGAAGAATTCCACAAGCACATTACAATAACGCGGGCATGAAGAAAACATTTGTCTGCCTTAAATCTCCTGTTTAAAAAAAATATTAAAGTCATAGGCTATCTCTACGTCTGTAGCAAAATTATTTTTGTAACAGTAGATGGGTTGGTTCAAGTTATCATGACATTTAAAAGTTGTACCATAGGGAGTTAAGGGAACTGTTTCAATTTCCTTACTGCTTACTACTTTCAAGGTTATGGAAATAAGCTCTGGTGATTTGAATCATTTTTTTTTTCCCCTTCAAATCCAATTCTATGGCATGGCTATCATCCACAATAACAATTCATTTCTCAAATGCTTTTATAATATAAATGTGTGGCACAGTTAATTGATATACAGGTCAAATCCCATTACAACAAATAGCCTGCAACCAAAAGCTCTCTTTTTAATAAAAAAAGATTTTTGAGCCCCAGGCAGTACCTCTCTAATTTTTATACTACAAAAGATATTGGACCTTTCGTAGTAATGGATTTGACTCGTTTTGACACTAAGAATTAAAATGAATGCCCCAAAATTGAATTGGGCAGGGTGGGCAAAGATTGAAATAGAAAAAAAAAAAAAAGAGAGGGAAAAGAGACGAAAAGGTATTGGAACTGCATTTAAAGATATAAGAAATGGCAGAATAAAGGGAAGTACAGCAAATCTCTTTGTCCATTCATTTAGGAAATTTTGGTTGTGATAATAATCACTTTTCTCCTTTATTACAAAGTATTTTCAGATATGTTTTCTCATTTATGAACCCCAAACTCCATAAGTTAGGCATAGTATTTATATTTCTGTTTTATATAAGAGGGCCTCAAGACTCAAAAAGATTAAGTGATTTTCTCAAGGTCGCACAGCTAATCAACAGTTTTCTGGGGCTTAACACCTGAGTCTTGACTCCTACTCTCTGTTAACCACACTGCCTTTCTCAGTTACATGTTCTATGTTTTAGAGGAGTTAGCATCAAAATCATCTGGATTTTTCATGAAAGAAAATTTCCTTTCACTTTTTCCATTTACTCTAAATCCTAAATGTTCTAATCTCTGACCTAGCATTAGGAAAACATCCTGACCCATCCCATGAAGACATTTGTCCTAGATGATCAATTCTGTACCTTCATTCCTGAATCTGGCTCGTTCTACATGCATGGAAACAAAATGGTTACGACAACAATTTTGACCTTAACTCAGGTTTATTTATCAAATGGCACAGTTAAAGCAATGGAAACTTTCTGTTCTCGATGGTGTCAGTCTGGTTTGACCAAAATGAACATTTTTGAAGCTAATAAGAGTTTTTAAGACATAGCCCAGAAAAAGTGGATTACTTGCACCCAGATCACCTACATAAACTCACATAAACAATGCTGAATGTAAACAATACTACCATAAAAACAATACAATTCAGATTAAGTTTTAGGAGTCAAATAAGTTACTCTTTGCAGTCCTAATGCAAGTGCACTTAAAGGAAATTTTCAAAAATGTATAACAAATAGAATTGCAAGAGTAGAGAGGGACTCAGATAGGTTCTAATATCATAATATGGATCATAAAACTATTTGCTATCAAGTTATACTGCAGTGCGAGGACTTTTTAAAAATAACAAGATGTGTATGGATTTTTAGTGATAAGGATTTAAAAAACATAACAAGGTCACCTTTTTAATACACAATTTGCTTTCATGCCTGCAAACAAAGTGTCAGAGTTTGTTTCCCATTGACCATTTGGTTCTTAGAGCCACAAAACTACTCTGCAATGAGGATTCGTTACTTGGTTCGAAGGTTTAATTTTGCATCTTTATTATCTTTTCTTGGAGCCTTAGCTGTACAAAAAAAATAAAGTGTGCAAACAGCTGTATTTTGCTCTTAGAGGTATGGCATATGGCCATTTTTCTTAATTATTCTTGTCATTTCACCCATAATACTAGTCGTTTTGATGGAAGGTGGAAAAAAAATAGCTTCTTGACAGATTCTCTTTCTTACTTTTTAAAATAGCTCATAGAATGATCCAGAATAATTTTTAAAAATACACTTCTTACAGCTTTAGCATTTTTTAAAAAATATTTTTTCTCTAAATCCAAATGTGCGATCATGGATTTGTGATGATGGTGGTGGCGTGTGTGTGTGTTTCAAAAGTAAGTTAGCACTGCAAATGTTTAAAGAAATCTTCAACCTTATTATTATTATTTTTTAACCATTTGTGAAATAATCATTGGCTACAGACATTTTCAAGTGTCACTTCTTTCCTCTCATATAATTTTTCTGTCTCTAATTCTCAGATTCCCAACATCAGGCTAGATAAAAATAATGTGTAGTTCACTTGCAGAAATTTATATGCAAAAAAAGGAACAAGAAGGAAAAAAATACCATTTATTTTAGGTCTATTATAAAATTTTCTATAAACCTAAATTGACTTCTAAACTGACACCAAAATAAATATTTTGGTGGGCAAATATGTTAATATTCTTGCTTGTTACAGTGCTTAATGGGCAAGATTAAAAGTAATTGGATACCTACATAAGCAAATGATATTTTAGCTAAAGAGGTTTCTGGACAAGAAACAAACTCTTAGATTGAATGCTTTGACCAGGATCATGCATATTTTAATGCTGTCATTAGTTGTTGGTTTGTTTTACAATTGTTCCAGGGTTCAAGAAAGGAACATCTATTATCAATCCATAAATTCTATAGCTCTCCACAATGAACTCAGAACATCTATATCGTCAAAGACTGGTGGGAAAATAAGACTCTCTCCCCTCATAATAATAGAAAAGTGGTTTTCTATCTTAAGCCTATAATCTAATTTTTGGAAATGTTTTGCATACTGTTTAAACTCTACATACCTGCTCATAATCTCTTAGACATACTGAAGTCATTTTAAATTCTACCTATTGTAGCATTTTTCAACATATTGCCTTTTTTATAAAATTCTTAGTATTGCACCCAGTCTGGAGGAATGTTACAGAATATCAGCAGCAAAGAAGACTTCAATCAAACTCTGATGTCAGGTGAACAAACCAGTGGAGGGGATGATCTCATTAAGACGGTGAGAACTTTTCCCACAATATGTTAAATGATCTAGCAAATCTTTTCACTTGATGAGGATAACATGCTCTAACCTTTCAGCTCATTCTTTCCTAAGGAAATTTGTCAATTGTTTGACGCAGGAATTCACAAAATAATTGTATTTTTATATTTATATTTTTATATTTATTAAACACAGTTAACATGCACAATAGACATATATATACATACATACACACACACTAAGAGAGATACATGTATTTGTGAAGTAATAATATAAGATTGGGATCGGCCCAATATATTTTTAAGGTGTTTATGTTAATAAAATAGAGAAGGTTTCCAGCCAAAATGGAATCAATCACTTCTTTATTGTTCACATGCCTGGTATTTGTCAAACTAACCGTGGCCTATTAGAAAATGATATATAGAAGAGATTCAAGGCCAAGGCCTGTACGACTGAACCATGTTTTCAACAATAAGACAGGCTGTTGATTCTATGAATGAGGTTTAGTAGAATTAGCCTTGGGTTCTAATTCAAGCTCCAATCACAATTTATAAATATCACTTTGAACAGATCACTTAGTCTCTCTATATCTCAGTTTTTCATCTGATAATTGGAAATATTAATATATCCCCTGTTGGTATGCTACATGTAAGAATTAAATAAGATGTATGTGAAGTGTCATAGAATAAAAGTATGCAAATAAAAGATTATTGATCTTCATTCATGGCTTCAACCAGGTTAGCAACCTGCCTTGTCGTTTTTTCTTCCTCTACCTTTGCACTTGACATAAGCAAATGATCTAAAGGGATAAATAGATTTTGCACAAACATAGTTAAGTCACTTGCATAAATCAGTTGGAATCACTGTCCAATCCACTTGAGACCTACATCTCTGTAGTCTTTAAAAGATCGTAACCTAAAAGATCATAAGATGGTCGATAATATACTTTAAAATTTATTTAGAAGGTAAGTGGATAAGAGATGTCACCCAAAATTAATGAAGGAGATGTAAAGTTTTCTCAGAATCCAAGAATAAGGGTAGAATAAAATTTGGTTGCTAGCTTATAGATTCTTGAATAATGAATTAAATAAAAATAACTATAGGTATCCTCTCTATTTACATTTAGGTAATGAATAATAAACAAACAGTATTATATATTTGATATAGTACTGTTTTAAAGCAATGAAAAACAAAAGAGAGATTTGTACCATGCTAAGATATTCCCAGATTAGTAAATTCAGAATTGAAATCTCTGAAAGAAAAATATAGAATTTGTTTGTGATTTTAACACGGGATTTAAAAAATTTTGCTATGTGTTATACTTTGTTACAGAGTATAATCAAATGAAAAATGATATTTAAAACATCATAAAATTAGCTTTTTAAATATACAGAAGAATTCCACTAGCAAGTGTAAGGTTTAAATTACCTCTAGTTATTTTAAGGACATTAGCTTTTTAATTGTTTTCAGAGCATTCAGTTGAAAGGAGTTTTAATTTCTTTAGTAAGCAAAGAATCATCTTTTGAAAATGACCTTCTACAAAAGCTAATTCTTGATTGAAAGCTATGGCGAAGGAGGTACATCTCTCCAAGGTGGTAACTCACAATCCTTTTGTCTGTATGACATTTCTGTTAAACAGGCCAAAGATTTTGTAAATAACTTATCTACAGTATGCGAGAAAATTTGGACTCTGGGACTCCATCAAACATTCTTATTAATGCTAATAATTGGAAGATGGCTTCTACCTATTGGAGGTGGGATTACTCGGGACCAACTCTCTGAACTTCTCCTTATGTTTGTGGGAACAGCTGCTGACATACTGGAATTTACAAGTGAGACCTTGGAAGAACAAAATGTGAGGTAAGCAGAACCTGCAACTAAACGACCTTCTTTTTAAGGTCAGAGCCCATACACCTGTCTCTTTGTTCCATCATTTATATTCTGCATGAAAAAGGATTTTCAGTATATCATATGCCCAATGGTAGAGTCAAAGAATTTGTTGCTGTTCAGATACATATTAAGTACCAGCCCAGTGTATGTACGATGATATAGATATAGGGATAGACACAGATACACACACACACACACACACACACACACACACACACACACACACACAAAGGAGGTTTCTCCTAGAGAAAAGGGGCAAATAATATTTTCTAAGGCTGAGAACAGAAAATCTCTGTATGTCTGCAGAACCACAGGTTAAGTGGGGCCACGTTTATCTGAAAACCTTCTGGAAATGGATGACCATCCTTAGCTCCTCTTTCACATTCTCAAGTATCCAGGAATGCAGTCAATCATAAGATTCTGTTCTAGAGCACCACATAACTACAATTTCAAGAAAGCACCTAAAGGAGAAAGTGAAATCTCTCCCCTACCCTGTTGGGAAATATATTCCCTGGTGTGAATGGAGAATGGGCAGATCAGGTTTTATTTTACTAAATTTTATTTTTAGTCAGCTTTGTTCAAAGTGCCCAAAGGCTTTCTGGAGTAGATCCCTATAAATTAAAACTTATTGAGTTGGTACTTTTATTTTTGCCACAAGCAAATAAACTCAGAATCCATGATCACATCTGTTTATGGAACTACTTTCTTACCATTAGGGATTTAAGTCTCGGTGCCTGAATGTACTTTCAGCTTGGGTTGCTTTGCACTATGCTATAAAAATAAATTGCAATGAAGCTGGTTTTTAATGTTTACTTTATACTGTGTTTCTCAAACAACAAAACATAAAGCTGAGCAAAATACACTAACTTACTGAGTAAACTTAATATCCCAGTCATAGCACAAAGTATATCTATAATCATAGGTTACCTTTACAAGATCATTTCTTGTCTCACTCACTTATACTTATTTTTTATACCTTATTAAGCACACATAGAATTTTAAAAAGAATCCAATCTAAATTGATCCATTGTCCTCAAAATGTAGATTTTAGTTTTGTAGCTTTAATATCTTACATTTGGTCAGCGATTTACATTGCATAACAAATTTTCAGATCCTTTAGGACACTTACAATACAATGGAGTTACAAGAAAAACATGAAGAAACCATGACCAAGCACATAAAAACAATAAATAACCACAAGCACAATCACAAGGACATGAGACTATAAAGACAACTACACTTACATAGAAATAAACACATACATGCTACATATCTAGGGATATGGGAAGGATAGAGGGTAGGAAATGGGGTATTCAGGAGAGATATGAATGTAACGAGTTATTGACTGATTATCTGGTATGTGCCAGGCGATGTTTTGGTCAGAGATTGGGGAGTAGGTGAGAGCAAGTGGAGAGCGAAAGGACACAATCCTGTCCCAACCCGGGCAATTTCAATTTAGCAATTTCTTCTGCCACCTACAAATTAATCTGAATGTTTCATAAATCTTTCTTTCCCTCATTTTAAACTTGAATCTTGTTCTGAGAATGAGACATAGGATCTAATAAACTATGCCACAGTTTTTGTTTTTTAATTTCTTTTTGGGTTTCATGATCTCAGATTGAAGTCATTTTATTTTTAACATAACTGCATTGCGTCTGTGACCTTCTGTAGTCTCTACTCCATTCCTGCATGTCTCCATCACTACTCAAAGACTCCAAAACCAAGGCCCAGAAAAAACATAGATTTTTTTTTCTCCTTCCAAAAATTCACCTCCCAGGTTCTGCTTTCGTCTCTGGTTCCGTTTATACTGCAAGAATTGACACTACAAATGACCTTCTCTTCAAAGGAAACATTTAAATCCCTCCCACTGTGGCATAACTTTTCCCTTTGGCCTCAAAAATACAACCATGAAGACTAAATTCCATATACATGGAAAAGATGTTTACACATAACAGCAAACCGAGTTGCATCATTACAACCTACTTAGTATTACTTATTATTACAACATTTTATTTTCTATCTTTTTTTATTCCATAATTTGGGCTGATTTAGAGAAAAGCCTGCAATGATATGTACAATAATATCTACATCTTTTCTGCATCCGGCTAAAACCTCAAATCCAATTTTTTTAACCTAAATTAATTTCCTCTATTATGTTCACATGAAGTTAATCTGATTTATTCTTATGAATTTACATACTGCAAATTTTTCTTAACAGCTTGCCTTTATACACCATAAAATTCAACTATTATAATCCTATTGTTCAATAATATTCAGTAAATTTATATATTTGTGTCATCATCATCAGAAGCCGGAATCCTTGTGGCTGTTTGTAGTCGATTCTCATTGACAACCTTAGGCAACCACTGATATGCTTACTGTATTTTTCTAGAAATTACATGCAAATGGAATCATAAAATATGTAGAGTGGTGTGTCTGGTTTTCTCACAGCATAATGTTTTGGGGTTCATTCTCATTGTTGCATCTGTCAGTAGTTAGCTCCTTTTAAATTGCTGAATAGTATTCCGTGCACTTAACACTTTTAACTTATCCATTCAGTAATCGATATACATGTGTATTGCTATTTTCTCACTGTTGAGAATGATATTGCTATGAACATTCACTTAAAAGCCTTTTTGGATGAATCTGTTTTCATTTCAATGAAGTAGATACCTAGAAGTACAATGGCTGGGTTTTATGTTAAGTGCATGATTAACTTTTCAAGAAATTGCCAAACTGTTTTCCAAAGTGGCTACACTTTTTATTCTACCAACAATGCATGAGTGTTCTAGTTTCTCCATACTCTCACCAACACTTTTTTCCCCAGTCATTTGTGATAATAACCATTCTAGTGGGTTCATAGTGGGATCATATTTTGATTTTAGTTTGCATTTTCCTAATGACTAATGATCTTGAACATCTTCTGTATACTGATTAGTTATTCATATGTTTTCTTTGGTAAACTGTCTGTTAAAATTTTTGGTCATTTTTCATTGGATTGATTTTCTATTATTGAGTTATAAGAGTTCTTTGTAAATTCTGGATACAAATGCTTTATTAGATACATAAATGTAAATGTTTTCTCCTGACATGGTTTTTTAAAATGTTTCCATTTGAAGAACATTTTTTAAAAATTTGATATAGTCCCATGTATTATTTTTTTATGTAATGCTTCGAGTGTCATATCTAAGAAATATTTTCCTCACCCAAACTTAGAAATATTTTCCTCTGTAATATTTAACACTACACAAATGTTAGTGAAGCGTGAGGTAAGGGTCTAATTTCATATTTGTCTTGTTTTGTTTTTGGCATTGTTCCAGTGCTTCTTTTTTCTTTGGTTCCAGCTGGAATCAATTGTCTTGGCACCATTTGTCAAAAGGACTATCCTTTCCCTATTAAATTGCCTTGGCTTCTTCGTGAAAAATCAATTGATCACATATGTAAGGTTATTTGTTTGTTTATGGACATTCTATTAGATTCCACTGCTCTAAATGTCTATTTTTTATGCTAGTGACACATTATAGTGATTACTAGAGTTTTATGATAAGTTTTGAAACTGGATACTATAAGTCTTCTAACATTGTTCTTTTTAAAAATTGTTCCGGCTATTCTAGCTCTTTTGCATTTCCTTAAAAGTTTTATAATCGGCTTGTCAAATTCTATTTTAAAAAATCCTGCTGGAGTTATGGTAAGAATTGTATTAAATCTAAGCCTCGATTTGTGAAGAAATGACCTCTTATTAATGTTGTTTTCCAATCCATGAACATGGACTATCTCATCATTTATTCAGATGTTCCTTAATTTCTCTCAGCAATGCTTTGTAATTTTTAATGTATAGATCTTATGCTGCTTTTCTGTCTCTAATGTCCTTTAGTATTTTTCCACTAGCTTGCCCAGTGCTTAAAATCTCTCCTGCCTTTTGTTTCAGTAGGCATGAATTCAAACTCTCTCCCCTATTGCAATAGTCTTGAAAAAAGCCTCCCTTGGCTCTGGCTGGTGCATAGCCAAGCTGGAGAGATATGAGAATATCCAATGAGCAAGAGTGCCTCAGACGCCCACTGTCCTTAACTGAAGTTCTATTAGTTTTTCAATAATAAATGTTACTCGATTTATTTGCCTCTGGTTGATTTCCAGAGATCTGAAGTGGTTGTTTTTGAAAATTTGTCCAGTGTTATATATGTTTGTTGGGGAGAGCATTTGCTGACTTTTTATTCTGCTACAGCCACCCTCCAACATTTTAACAAGTCTGAATTTCAATGCCATTGCTATGAACAGTTAAGTGGTTATTTGCACTTTGAAGATTACTCTGTGCGGTCTTTTTTTGAGCACAGATCATTTATTAAAAAGATATATGTTCCCATAGCATTATTGTTACTTCACTGTGTTTGACCGTACAAAGAAGAATTTTCCTACGTTCATAGCGTGTTTTCTTTTTATTTAGCTCTTTTTGCTCGGTGAAACATTTCTTCCAGGCTAGGTTAATACTTCATTGTTTTTCTTATTCTCTCTCTCCTTTATTTTTTCCCCTTCTCTGAAGAAGTTTGTTAGATGCTTTTGAAAAAGCTAAATAAATTCTATTCATTAATTATCTCTTATCTATAGGAATATTTATACTTTCAAAAAGAAATGTTGAGCAAACTAGTGTTTTGATCTACCAAATTCTAGTCTTTTATCCTCTCAATTTTCCAAGTAGAGAAATGACACTCACATCTATAATTATACTTCTCCAGCCCTTTTGCCTCATTATGAACAGAGTCCATTATCTGCTTACATGCTTCTCAGTTGACATTTATGGAGACAGATTACACATGAGAAAATGGGGCAAGACAATTGGGGGAGACAGTTACACAATGCAGACAATGTTGGACAAATTAACTCCAAAATTCCTTCACAAATTTTGAGCATTTGCCATTTAAGCTCAGTGATTTATTTACATTCCAACCTTTAATTTTCCTGAGTAACTTTTACTGTCTGACTTAATAATACACATTTGTTTGCTTCAAAAATTTTCTGACTATCTTTTCCAAAGTTATTTTTAATAACTTTAATATGTTTTTCAACACACACTTTCTCCCATAGTTTAGTGTGCAGTTGGGTGTTTTTTGTTGAGTTTTAGATGTTCAGCTTATTGTTGTTGAAGGGGAGAGATCTGGGGACGTCTCTCACTCTGCATGTTTCTCCTCCTCCCTCTCCCATATTTTGTATGTGCTCAGATAATATTTGCATATACAGAAGACATACATTCATTGTTAAGGGTTAGAATTTGAATTTTGCTTACTTAGGGCTAGGGTTAGTTTATTATCCCTATTTTGTAAAATCGTGAAATTAAAACAAAGATTTCAAGAAGTATGCTCCCATAATAATAGAAATACATCAACTATGATTAGGTAATATTTATTTATCACCTGCTATGTTCTAAGTACTGTTCTAAGAGTTTTAGTTGTGAGAAGTTATTTAGTCTTTACAATAACACTATGAGGTTGATCCTATCATTATCATCATTTTATAAACTGAATAGTGACAAGCAAGAGAAGTCGAGAAAGTCTCAATGTTACATGGTAATAAAACTAACTAACTTGTAGTGATCTACCATATTTAGTCTATATCAAGTGCCGTTCTAAGAGCTTTCTATGTTTAACATATTTAAACAACATTCAGTAAAATTATATAAAATCCAATAGCTATTATTACTGTCATCTTGTATTGAACATGGGTAAACTAAGGCATATAGATGTTAAATTACTTGTTCATATTCGTGTAGCTAGTTAATAATCAACTTTAGGTTGGAGATCTGCATATCCCTGGTGAGGGTTGGAGCTAGTATTTGAACTCCAGCAACCTAACATCAGAGCTCATGCTTTACTACCACTTTCTGCTCCCTTGAAGACAAATTGTATGTGAGTTTTTGGAAGAATTATTGAAGTTTAGGATTAAAAGAAACTTCAAAAGTGACCACCTATTGAAAAATCTATTTTACATCTATTGCAAAATCCTCTCCAAAATTTCTCAACAAGTTTTGTCCAGACTTTCTTTGAAAATTTTCACTAATAGAGAATATACAAACCCCAGGGGCAACTCATTCTGAGTTAATATTATTAGAAAGTACTTTCCTCTATTGTGATGAAATTTGGATTTTTACAGGTAAAACTAAAATTCTTGGAACCTCCGTTGGCCCCCTGAAGTCAAAAGAAATGTTTAATTCCTCTTCACATGATAGCCCTTTAAGTGTATGAAATCAAGTTTTTAAGGAATCTTCGTTTTTCAGTTTAACTGTCTCACAAAAAACACATGTCTCTATATAACTTGTCTCTGAGTTCTCTCACCACTTTAGTCTCTCTCTTTTGGACCAAAAATATTATAAATGTTCTTCCTAAAACATGAAGCACAACACGTAATATTTCAGATATGTTCTGAACATTGTAGCATAGAACAAGGTTAAAACTTCCCATTTCTTTCATGAAAATAGTATAGTGTAATGGTTAAAAGGGGCGATGCTGAAATTAGCTATCTAGTTTTGATTTCTGCTTCCAACACTTATAACCACATGACTTTTAATGAGTTTCTTCAACCCTTTATGCATCAGTTTCCTCACTGGTCAAATAAGGATAATAAGCGTATGTACTCTGTAGAGTTGATATGAGGATTAAGTGTGATCATAGAGCTAAATAGAAAAAGTCCTGCACATAGTTCAGACAGTGTAGGTAAAATTATTTAAAAATTCAGGCACTTATTGTAGGTCTCCTATATGTAAAGACATTGACGTTGCATTGAGGGAAAAGTTATAGGCTGTGTTCCCTAGGCATTTCCACTTAAAATTCTAGACTTTATACTTCTTGTGAAGCAACCTATGATTGCATTTGATTTTGGAAAATCACATATCTTTTGTAGTTTAATACATACTTCTGTTTCATTGTGAAAGTTAAGACTTCATGTTTTTTTTTTTTTTTTTTTTGTCACCAAACTTGTCTTCACCATTAACTGCCAAGACAGATCATGATGGCTTAGAAACCTCATTTACAAATTCTCTCAGAGTTTTGAGGTCTAATTGTTTGGGCCCTCACACTGGAAGCACTTAAAGGTATTCCTTAAATCCCTCATTTACTTTGCTTCAGTCAGCCTTCCCTGATGCTTTTCTATTCCTCTGCAATCTGAAAATCCCTCCTGACAGAGAAATTTGCATCAAAATCTGTTATTATACCACAAACCTGAAATTGATAACTTCCTCTTTATTTTTGCTAAAAAAAAAAAAAAAAAAAGTGACTTTGATACTTTTAAAATATCTTTTGTATTTTGTAACCACTTTTCTTCATGACTTTAGTCTTTAAGACCATTTTCCTATGGTCTTAAAAGGTCTATAAAATGCCTATGACTTTTATATATTTTCCAAGTATGGATCCTTCTTTTGTACACTCAGCAATTCCTTCTACAGGCATTTCTTGAGTGTCTACTATTGCCCGGGGACTGTTTAGGCACAAGGGATACAGAGGTGAATACAAGAGTCATATTCCTTGATTTACATCCAGTATTGAGTGTGAATCTTTGATTATTGGATTTATCTCCCTGTCTTTTTTCCAACTGAGGATAGCATTCTTTTACATGCTGAATTTTTAATTATTAAGCATCATCTAGTTCTTCTGAGATGTATTTTTAAGTTAGAGTCTCAGGATCATAAAACAGTTTTCACTTTTTCTCTTTGAAATTTCTTGAAATCGGTCCGCTGAATTTCTAGGTCGATGTCTAATATTTTTCCTAGCATTTCTCTTCCATTATGTTCCCATGATTTTGCAAAACTAGAGACAGCAATACGGGGTCAAGAGGCTTTGCCATAATGTGCACAGATGTTGGTGCATGTGGAAGTTGAGTTTTAAGTCTCAGATTTTTTGTTTTGGGGTTTTATTTTAACTTATTTTTCATTATTCCATTATAATTATGCATGTACTTTTCTTGGATTTCTTTATCACCAAGATATTTTGACAACTCTCAAGAGTTTTATTAGGGTATACTCAAATATGAGAAGAGAAAAGATTCTCTTTTCTACTTTTTATCACATTATTATTATGAATTTAAAATTTTGTCTGCATTTTAGGAATAGCCCTGCTCTAGTCTATGCCATCCTTAGTATATGGACTTGGAGCATGTTGCAGTTTCCACTTGATCTGGCAGGTAAGTGTCTTGATGTTTGCTCAAAGAAACAGAAAATGACAACTCTTGACTATAAACTGTAATAAAGCTAAGGAGGCATTTGAGAGGATTATCATTTTAATCATTTCGATATCTCAGTGTTAGTGCTAGTTCAGCTTAGATGAAAAGTAGATTAAAACTTAGGAAAGCCGTGAGCAGATCATCTTTAGTACATGGTGAGCCTGACATAGTTGAGTAGATAAGAGTACAGCTTTATATTCACTTCACACAGCGGTTCCATCATTTAAGATTTGTAAAACCTCCTGCAAGTTAGTCAACACATCTATGCTTCAGTTCTTCATCCATTAAATGGGGATGATAATTACAGTGATGACTAAATAAGATACAACTTGTAAAGTGCTTAGCACAGTTGCTGGCATATAAATGTTATCTCTTGATATTTTTAGGAAATCATTTTCATGCCTTTGTCAGACCCATATATTGGAACATCACAGGAATAAAAGCAGTTTCAAGGCCACATGGAAAATTAAAATTTTCCTCAGTACTGGCCCTTGGAATCCCATCGGTTTTCTTTTAATAAAGACATAAACCCTTAAGACTTTGCAAGAAATAAATTGTGTTCCAGGTATTTCATTATTAGTGATGATGCGGAGTTGCATTGTCTAATATGGTACCTACTAGTCACATGAGGCTATTTACATTTAAATTAAAAATGAACTAACATTAAATAAAATTAAAAGTACAATTCCTCAATAACACTAGCCACATTTCAAGTGATCAATTGCCACACATGGCTACTGTATTAGACAGCACAAATATAGAACATTTTTACAACCACAGAAGATTCTATTGGGCAGCATTGATCTGGAGTTATCCCATAATTTCTAGGAACCCTGGAATTTTGATTTGGGAGTTCTCCTGGATGCCATTTTACTCTGAAGAAATTCTAGGGTTGAATGATTATGTTTTCCTTGTGCCTGACTTCTTTTTTATGGCACACTCGATGGTCTCAAGATTAGAATTAATCTTAGGGCAGGGGATATTTCATTTTTTCTGCATCTTTTTTGGCGCATTTCGATAGGCCTAGAGGTTTCAGAAGCCATGTTAGACCTTAGCATCTACTTTCTGAGACAAAATTATCACCAGAATAGATGGAAAGTGTGTGTGTGGCTTTTTGGAAATACCAAAAAACCTAATTACTAGTTAATAATTACAAACAAATGTATGCCAATAACACCCATCCTCCTCTCTCCCCAGGCGTGCGCGCGCGCGCGCGAAGGTTTTGTCATAGTGTCCTAGAAGGTTTTCTGTACACATTGATCAGCTGGTGTCCTTCTGATAGAATATTAGGCACCATTACTTTAGATGTGGAATAACACTCTTAGGAGGTCCCCTTTTTCTGATCCTAACTTCCTAGGAAAGGCTATTATTAATCTTATTTTTTTGTCATTCATTCTACTGATCCTCACCCTCCCATATCTTGTGGTTTATAGACTTGCTAAGAAAGTTTTTATTTAAGAAAGAAATTTTGTAAACTTTCGGGGGTGATAATGTTATGCAGCTGTTTGAAAAACAAAGACCAAATGTTACTTTTGACTAAATCACTATTGTATTTTCCAACAAACAGTACATTATGTTCACCCATATCAAAGCAGCTTCATAATATTTGCAGGCTTCAGTAGACAAGGTATTCTTTGTTTGAAAACTCCAAATGGAAGGCTTCATTATTATAAAGGGATTATTTTCTGCCCTTGACCCTGAATTAAATTTACATTTTAGAAATTAAAACAAAAAGGTTCATTTGTTGATTGGACCTTCTTTTGTTCAACTGGAAAATTAGTAATTATATCCAGTTTTTCTTGTAAACTGTGAAACAAATCCATAAGGAATTAGACAAGATAAAATGACATTTATTTGGGCTTTTTTCACCACCATTAGAAAAATGTTTAATGTGACTTAAATTTGAATTTGAACGTAAGTGCTTAAATTTTCACAACATAATTTACACATAGGATCAAGTGAGTCAACCAATAAATAGGTAAATCTCAAAGAGAGGATACAGAAAGATATGGATTATGTATACTCTTTTCCAACTGCAAACTTAGCAGTCTGGTAAGTCATGCATTACCCTGAGGGAAAGCTAGTGTGAGAAAGGAGAGGAGCCAGGGCTGTTATTCTAACAGAAACAAAAGAGTCAGTGAAGAGGAGCTCCTCTCCTCAAAGATATCATCGTTATCCCAGTTTTCCAAGAAGGAAACTGAGGCCCAGGCAGGTTAAGTAACTTGGCCAGCATCTCCTTGCTAAATAATGAGGAAGCCGGGAGAGGCAGCCGGGATCCTGACTTGAGGCCCTGAGTGGCCTGCTACACTGCCTCTCTGCACTGCAAACCCATGGTGGTTTCTTCTCTGTTTTCTCCAGCCTAGTTAACTGTGCTGTCTGGGCGCGAGGGCTAGAAGGTGATCTGCATTTTCTACATGGATAGAAACTAGAGGGCTAGCTTTCTTGGGTATGTTTTATTGGAAATATAACAGATTATCAATGTTGAATATAACAGATTATCAATGTTGAATATAAAATGATCAATGGCAGGATGGTTTCACCTGTTCCGCCAGAATGAAATTACAGAATCACTCCCAGTTGTGAACTAGCACAGCACCCGTTGTTGATAAATTGTTCCCATTTCATTCTGTCTTACTTTTTGACATTTCAGAGATATATGTTAATTGGTCTGTTTTGTGATTTCAGTACAGCATGTCGTGTGCCCCTTGTCTGTGACAGCAAGGGGGTTCCTCAGCCTATTCTTTTGCCAATACAGTGCTGATCTGTGGAACATTGGAATCAGTGTCTTCATACAAGATGGTCCCTTCCTTGTCGTGCGTCTTATACTGATAACTTATTTTAAAGTGATCAACCAGATGCTGGTGTTCTTTGCTGTGAAGAATTTCCTCGTGGTGATGTTGCACCTTTATCGCTTGGTTGTGTTGGCATTGGATGTCCGTGCCTCCTTGAGAAGTCAGCCGGAAGGCCTGAAAAGAGAACACAGCTGCCCAGCTGAACCAGCTGAGAGTGGGGTCTCACCTGAGGACAGGGAGAGTGGTTCTAAGGAGGGCCTAGCTATGCCTTTGAGGGCCTCGCCAGTCGCTTCCAACGACTCTTACCCCACTCCATAGTTATTTATTGACAACAGCATGCAACTGGAACATTTGACTTTCTGGTTCTTCTTACAAACAGAATCTTTCTCTCTCTCTTTTTTGTTAACATTGGCCTATGATAATTTTTAAAAGAACAACATAAAAAGTGATCTTAAACCTGACAAAATATATCAATGGAACCACTCTAAAATGGAGCTGGAGCTACCATGCCAGAGGAACTGCCTTGCACGTCTCATGCTTCAAAATTTGGAATGTTCAAATAAGGCAAAAAAAACCTTTGGACAGAGCCTAAAGCAACCTTGTATCCCAAAGAACTGTTTGGAAGGATAACAAGACAACAGACATTATGACTACCAGACTGATGGCTACTGAACCAAAAATTAAAAACCTTGTCTAGAATTAACATCACTATGTTATGTCATCTGCACCAATAGAAATGCCTTCTTTCTATTGATGTAATTGTTCTCCTTCCCTTTCTCATAAATACCCTTTGTTTTTTTCTCTAATCAGAGCACTATTGGGGCTTTCACCGGGAGTCGGTGAATTCTGAATAGCTATTCTAATTGATCTCAAATAAATGCATGTTGCTTCTTGCTTTAAAAGGTCTTTATTTTTAGGTTGTCAAACCAAAGCTGAGGAATTTTCTTTTTTTTTAACTGAATGGAAAAGACTTTGATTAGTGGCTATTGCTACAACTTCTGTGTGATGGTATCAAATGTCATAGTTGTTCAACCACTAAGTGATTTGTTTGTCTTGAACTGTTTGAAAGCTATGGACAGGGTTACAATGACATGCCCTTAAGAGACTTAGTGCAGACGAACTGTCATGGCTGATACCTGAAAACAGAGAAGCTTTGAACTTTGGCTCCATTGTCAGACTATCTCATCTGATCTTTTCTGCAATGTCTCTCTCACATAAAATAATGCACATTCAGTGAACGCAGGACAAATAAAGGGAAACACACCTTTAAAATGGCCTCTCTGTGGGCTAGAAGCAGTGAGAATCTCTGCCTAGCTTCCATAGCATTGAGAGCCCTATCCCTTGCCACACAGGCCTTGCCAGAAAAATCATTTTTCTGGGCTGATGTGGTATTCTGTCACGGCGCATATGCTCTTATAGAAATTTTATTGCTTTTGGCTTGGGCCCTGCCAAATTCACAGCAAGCCATTTCAGTTACAGATCTACTGGTTGCAAGGCAGGAAATACTGGTAACACTAGCAAAGTCACAATTTCCACTCTGAGCGTGATTTGCAGTATTTGTCAGTATTTTTCTTAACTCCACTTCACCGTTTTCTATATCGCCAAGTTGAATTATTTGGGTCGATGCAAGGAAGCACGGAAGTAGTGAATAACGGTGTATGTCAGCAGTCGTGGTAGCTTCTCTGAACTGCCACTGCTGGAGACGGCCTTTGGTCTCAAGGAAGATGTTGGCTCCAGAGACTTGCATCAGCCCTACACACAGCCAGCAGCCCTGGATTAGTGACGGGGGTTAGGCTGTGGCACAGCATCATGGAAATCAGGAAATTTGCTTTTCTTCCCTGCATTAAGGATTCATTTCCCCAGTATTGAAATAGTCATACTTTCCCTTTATATACCTCTATATTTTCCAGATGGAGACGACTCAGAACCTTATAAAATGATTTTTGCTTTTAAAAACATAGTATGAAAATTTACCTGGCTATATCACAGTAATTATATGAAGCAAACAGTCCAAAACTGTTCTTTTAGGGCTCAAAGCGGTTACTCCTTGTTATTATGCTCAGGAATTCAAAGAGACATTAAAGATAAGGCAGGGTATGACCTTAAATTGAGCGTGACTTATTGACAACTAATTGAGATAATTTTTTCTATAAATCTGTGTGACATGATATCTGTTCAAAATATTTGATAAAAAATTTCATAGGCGAATTCTGTTTTTATACAGAGAAATTAATAATTTCAAATTAATGGCTTCTTCAGTTCTTGACAGCATGTATTTCTATCTCTTTTTTCCTTGTGTTTCTAATTTTAATAATATGATTATTGTAAAATTATACATGAAACTAATGGAATACATTTATAATTTTCCATAATAATTTTATGAAAGATCAGGAAATTGTATTTATATAAAGTAAAAAACTTGACAACTTTTAAGCACATTGTTATTTAAAATGCTTAGCAATTGAAATCAAAATAATCACTGCTATTTATAAAAAATGCCTCAGCAAAATCTGTTTTTATGTTGACTGTTTTATGGTGAATGTTTTCCTCCACAACATGTATGTGCTACTTATTATTGCAGATTTGCTCATGGCATACTTTTCATGTTTTAATTTTTTCTTCTAGCAAAACAAACATTGGGCCTCTAAAAATAGATAAGTATAAAGTAGTACGGCTGTTGCAAGGATATTTTTAAATGCTTTAAAATCTGAGACTTGGCTTGGCTTTGTGAATGAGTTTCGAGTGTTTAACTAAAGTATTCCGTAATTAGCACTCCTTGTAAGGTCTGGGAAATAGAAAGTCCAGAATCTAGCTTCACTTAGAGTGCCAGGAAGGCGAAGAGTGCCCAGGACCATCTCAGCAATTACTGGTGGCAAAAATAGACATACATACTCTGCAATGTTTTCCAGGAAAATCCGCTAAGGGCAGCATTTGTTAATCTAACTGCCAGTACTCCCACTCTTTTGGACTTACTGTTTTTATTGTAGAAAGAAAATCTATATTCATTTAGTTCATTTAAAAATAAAACCTAAGTCCAAGTTGTATCCCAAGGACCCCTGATGAAAAGTTAAAAATGTATTCTGTTATTATACGTTTTTATTGTAAATTGCTGAACATTGTAATGTTTGAAAATATCCAAGTGTTTGCTATAAAGGGGCTAAAACAGTAGTTACCTCCCATATGTTGTCATCCTGGGACTTGCTTCCATTTTATTTGTAATAAGATAACTGACTCAGATCAGATGCATAATGTGATGCAAGCCATACCTCTGCACCATCCTCTACAGACAGGTACCAATCCCAACCACTGAAGAAAGTGACTCATTTGTTATTGTTGTTGTTTCTTTAACTGCTTGATTAAAGCTCAATCAAATGTCCTTCCTAAAAACATATCATTTCACTTGTGACAAAACACAGTATACATGTTTTAACGATGCTGTGTAAAAACACATCTCATAACTCTCTTGTGCATTTCCTTTACCCTTACTAGATGAGTCTCAGAGGCCATGGTTTGACATTGCAAGATTAGTAAGCTGTTTTTGTCTTTGATTATTTCTTTAATTTTTATTTAAGCTAGAAGAGATATCATGAAAATAAAATTTTGCATTGGCAATAACATCCTTTCTAATCTTCCAAAATGAAGATTGTTTTACAAATTTATCAATTGGCTCTGTTATAGTTCTGCTAACATGTATCAGCACCTCAGGGCTTAAAAGACCATAAAGGTATGGCTAAGAAATATCAGGATTTACTATTATAACATTATTAACTTGTTATTTAATAGAAACTTTTCAAAGCCCCGGGAACGCATGCATTGTAGGTGCACATGCTTTAGGATTTCCACCCAGTTTTCAGAGTTCAACATTGACTCTTATTATCTTTCACATTTAATCTCAATGACTCTTAATCAACTCCTTTGTTCAAAGGGAGAAAGAAATGCAAGAGGCCAAGTCTCTGTCCACTTTCACTCTAGTGCCAGGAAAGTGAGATGCCTAAATATTGCAGAGCCATAGAGATTTAAGTGAAAACAACAACAACAAAAACAATCTTGAATCGTAAAAAGAGACTTTGAATAATCAACTGCTAAGGCCTTATATTTTATAGGTGTTCATCCTCTGAATCTTTCTTATAGAATATTTTATAAGAATATTTTCTCTGAATTACTCATACTTATACTATTTTACTATGAATGACCTTTGTATTTTATTATATATTCATTAAATAGCTTGTTTATAACTTTACCTCAATGTCCGTGTTTTGCTTGACTTTTTTGGCTTTGTTCTCTACTATAATTCATTTCCTTTAGTTTTTAAGCTCTGGCTTAAAATAAAACTGATCTATTTAGAGTATGACTAAAGTGGCATTTCAAACTAGTGAGGAAAGACTGACCAACTTTATAAATGATGTTGGGAAATTTTGTGAACCATCTGGAAAAAATAATGTTAGATTTTTATCTCACGCAATATATAGAAATAAATTCCAGATGGATTATAGATCTAAATGTAAAACTGAAAACTCTAAAATATTAGAAGAAAATATGGACTGTGTCTTCAGCATTTGGGGAACAGGAAAGATCTTTCAAATCAAGACGTGAAATTCAGAAGCTATGAAAGAAAAGATTGAGAGCTTTTCCTATGTAAAGGTTTAAAATTTCTGAATGGTCAAAAGTATCATGAATATATCACCAATTTTTTTTTCTAAAGATGTCAGTGCATTCATGCAAGAGAAATGAGAGGTAAAGATATTAGAAAGGAGGAGCCAAATTTATTTTTTCTTTATAGAAGATGAGTCTTGAACATCCAAGAAAAGCATATAAAAACCTAAGAAACTATTAAAAATAATCTAAAATTATGCAAAAATCAATGGCTTTTCTGTATATAAGCAAACATCATACAGGCTATATATTTGAAGAAGAGGTGTTCATACGACATGAACTAGAACGAAAAAATACATAGAAATAAACAATAAATGTACAAGATCCATGTGAAGAAAACAAATGACTTTTTTACAGCACCTGGTATTCCACCTAAGGTGGTCTCCCGTCCAGGTACTAACGAGATCCGACCCTACTTAGCTTCCGAGATCAGGTATGTTCAGAAAACAAATGATTTTGAGGAACATCAGTGACTAATTTAACAAATAGAAAGATACATTCTGTTGGGGAATGGTAAGAAGACAATATTTTAAATGTATCAATTTCTCCTAAATATTTCTATAAATTTAACACAATCTCCATAATGAGATCGATAAGATTTTTATCTTTAATTACTACTCAAGCTGATTCTGAAGATTTCATGATAAAATAAATATGAAAGAATATCTGGAAAATATTAAAAGGAAGAAAAGAACAAGAGTACTTTCAGCATATTTAAATATATCATAGAGCTACAATAACCAAGAGAATTCAATTCTGTCAGGCAGAAAAATGGAACAGAATAAGGTCAAGCAATAGATTGAATTACATACGGATTTTGATATATGAACATCATGAAGGAGGGTAATAGAGTTATGAGTGGTTTAAGATTTTTAAAATATCAAATTGGACCCCTACCTTAACCCTGATGTCTAAAATATTTTCAGATGGATCAAAGAATTAAATATTAAAAATAAAAAATAGAGACCTTTGCTTTTATAATCGCAATGGGGAGAATGTTTTCTAAACAAAATATAAAACTAGAAACCATACATGATTCATAAATTTCATGTAAAATTAAAATTTTAACATCATAAAAATGTCATAAATGAATTCAAAAGTTGAACAAACTGGTAAATATTTTTGCAACAAATGTAATAGAACATTAGTTTTCTTATTGAGCAAACAGCTCTTCCAAACTAGAAAAACAAAAACAAAAATCACTCTTTGAAATAATGAGCACAAGATATAAGTATGTGATTCACTGCAA